GCACAGATAGCCCATTGTGTAGTTTTGTGCTTAACTTCAAACAAACTCTTCGTCTGTAGTTGCGCGTTTTAAAAAAATACAATGTTCGAACAGACGATACAAGTAGCGCGTGACAACTATATCAAAGCCAAGAATGAGAAAGAAAGAAAAAAGTTAAACAACAAAGCAAGAGTGTTAACTACTGTTATATCCAGCTGTTTGTTACCAAAACGTTACCGTTTCCTTTGTTGTTTTTAGTTTCGTTGTCACGCGCTACTACTTATCTATCCTTTTCGAACATTCGTATTTTTAAAAACAGTGTTCACTCGAACGTTGTAATATATTTAATTTACTTGTCGTTAGACGTTGATGTTAGGCCTATTATATGTATACATTTCTTACCAATGCATTCTATATCTAATCTCTTAGAGAATTTCAAGTATGCTCGCCGTATCCATTGCCGACGACGCGTTTTCCTCAATCCAGAGCTCATCAGGCCGGCTGGAACACAACAAACGCAGTAGTGATCGGGACATTATTTATATAAGCCATTTGTTACAACAAGAACAACTGGTTGTATGGTTGTGTCCCAGCCGTCCTGATGAGCTCTGGATTGAGGGAAACGCGTCGTCGGCAATGAATATGACGAATACAGTGTGGTTGAAATATTATTATTATTATATACACATATCCAATTCCTGAAAATCTCTAAGGGACTAGGTTTAAAATGTATAATATATATAACAGGCCTAATACTAATGTCTAATGATAAGTAAATTATTTATAATCATTAACGTTCACACCATAACAGTTGTCATAGAAATATATTACTAGTTACGGTACGTAACGCCACACGTCAACGAAACGTAATTTATTGAAAGGAAGCTTGTGTGACATCACGAAAAGACTGGTGATACTACGGGTTTCCAACGAAGCGTTGCGCTCAATACCACAGCTCATCAGGTCCGCTGGAAATACAACACAAAAATCCATAATAATTGATATAATGTTTTGTATTATCCTATTTAATACTAGTTTCACACTGCCCCTTTTAATACTAGTTTCACACTGTCCCTTTTAATACTAGTTTTAACTGTCCTTTTGAATACTAGTTTCACACCGTCCCTTTTAATACTAGTTTTAACTGTCCTTTTGAATACTAGTTTCACACTATTCCTTATAATATTAGTTTAACGCCGTCCCTTTTAATACTAGTTTCACACCGTCCCTTTTAATACTAGTTTTAACTGTCCTTTTAATACTAGTTTCACACTATTCCTTATAATATTAGTTTCACACCGTCCCTTTTAATACTAGTTTCACACCGTCCCTTTTAATACTAGTTTCACACCGTCCCTTTTAATACTAGTTTTAACTGTCCTTTTGAATACTAGTTTTAACCGTCC